TTCATAAATGGTGAAAGATTATCATCTTCTTCTGGTAATAAATGATTATTACTATCATTTGTTATAGATTCTACCATTTCCAACCATTGCTGATTATGTGATCTAAACTTTTCTACTTTTATGCGAGCTGCCCAATTTTTATCACATATCTAATATAAAAATTTATAAAATAAATTTATTTATTATTTAAAATAATGTAAAATAATTGTTCAATAAGATTATTTTAAAAATATACTTACGGCTATTACATCTAAACATGCATCACATACTTTTCTAATTGCTGCATTTTTATCATGCATAAGATCTATTAGATATCCAGGTGCTTCTGTAAATAATAAAAATATTTTAAAAACATAAAACATGAAAAATTTTTTATTTTGTATGCATTTTAGATACATTATATTTTATTAATAAAGCATAAAAATTGATTATTACCATTACCAGTCTCGCGTATTAAATAATCTCTTGTTGAATCATGTTTAGATATTTGATAAAAAACATAAATTATTTGTAAAACTATTTCATCATCCTCTTGCTTTGCTACAAAAATTATTAAAATTATTAGAAAATAATATTAATATTTTTTATAATATACAAACCTTTAAGAAGTTCAATAAGAGATAGCAATATATCAGCTTTGCATAATAAGCGTGCACAGTCTTCATCAAATGCTGCAGTACCCAAAAATATTACAATTTCAAGTACTAAATCATCTGGTGCTTTACCTAGATGAAAAAGAATTGTGTAAAAAGAAAATAAATTTTATATTTAAATATAATAAAAATGTTTAACCTGGAACAAGATTATTACGTATCCATGGTATTAAATCACATCGATGAAGTATTTGTGAATAATCTAAGTCATGTAATTCTAAATTGCCTAATACACCTATAACTTCAAGCACAAAATCTTGAGAATCTGATTGATTTAAAGCCATAGCAAAATCACCCACAAATTCCTAACAATAATTAAAAATAATTTTTTAATATTGTTATTAAAAAAATAATTTTATATATTATTTTAATTAATTACTTACAACAAAGTTTTCTTTTGCTAAATCATGTTGAGAAATATTTCGAATCATTTTCATTATTAAAGGATCTTGAATTCGAAATGCTTTTTTTATAAGACCTTGCAAACGATTACTTTCTATCATAAGTTGTGCATTTTTATTATTAATTGCCAAATTTATACCAAGTGCTATTAATTCTAATTTTGGTTGATCATCTTCAGAATTTACAATCATATTTGTTATCTTGACAATATTTAACCATTTTAATATTTAAACATTACATATTATTTATGTAAATTATTTATAATTTAACAAATATTATTTATAATTATATAAATTATTTTATTACTTACCATTTGGATGCATTCTGTATTCATAAACATAGTTTTTACTTTGTCATCCATACTAGCATGATATAATAAACCCAAAATAGTTGTTTTATTTTTAATATCACTTTGACCAAGTAATTTAATTAATTTCGGTAATAATCCAACTCTTATCATTTTAGCTCTAAGTTTTGCATCAAAAGAAAGATTAAATAATAATTTTAAAGTGCTAAGAATAAGATCTGCATTATTACTTTGAAGAAGTCTTGGTATTTTTTCAATAATACTTTCCTCAGCCTAAAAAAATCATATATAAATTATAAATAAATATATATATATATATATAT